AGCCATAATCCATACTGAAGGCTGATCTTCATGAGCAAGTGCTTCAAGTCCTCCTCACTTTTAGTAGCTAAGTGTATGTCATTTGCATATCGAAGGTTGTTAACAGGCCTTCTTCCAATCCTGATACTGTATTTTTCTTCATATAATTCAATTTCTATGATCATTTGCTCAGCATACAGATTGAATAAGTATTTTCTTGTTTGAAGGATTGTATGGACAAAATCTTGAGTGATGGAAGAAGCATCAAAAATTCACTACATAAAAATAATTTGTCAATAGCTAATAAGTTCAAGAGGTAGCATATGATCAAGAATTGATGATATTAAAGGAAGAAGTCCAAGTTTCACTGATGGGATGGGTAAAAACAAGGCTCCAGGCATTGACGGAATACTAGTTGAGATGTTTCAACAAACAAATGCTGCATAGAAGGTGCTTGCTTATCTATAGCAAGAAATTTGGAAGATGGGCTACCTGGCCAATGACTCGAAGAGATCCATGCTTGTATCCATTCTAAGTAAAGTTAATCCAGCAGAATACAGACATTATTGCACAATATCATTAATACTACATGTAAGTAAAATTTTGCCAAAAATAATTGACAGGGAACTGCTAGAAATTCAAAAGAAGATGTGGAATGAGTATTATAATTTCTATTGTCAAATTGGTCTTGGCTGAAAGCAGAGAATACCAGAAAGATGTTTGTGTTTTATTGATCATACAAAAGCACTGGACTGTGCAGATCGTAACACTCTACAGAATGGGGATCCAGGATACTTAATTTTGCATATGTGGCACTTGTATGGAGCCCTGGTGGTGTAGTGGCTGTTAACTGCAAGGTCAGGAGTTTGAAACCACCAATGGCTCCATGGGCGGATTTTTACTCCCATAAAAATTACAGTCTTGGAAACCCATAGGGTAGTGGTTCTCAACCTTCCTAATGCCGCGACCCTTTAATACAGTTCCTCATGTTGTGGTGACCCCCCAATCATAAAATTATTTTTGTTGCTACTTCATAACTGTCATTTTGCTACTGTTATGAATCGGGCCATCCCTGTGAAAGGGTCATTTGATCCCCAAAGGGGTCACGACCCACAGGTTGAGAAGCAATGCCATAGGGCAGTTCTACCTTGCCCTACGGGGTTGGTGTGAGTCAGAATAGACTTGATGGCAGTGAGTTGGGTTTTGGTGTACAGATCAAGAGGCAGTCATTTGGACAGAACAAAGGGTAAGGCAGATCATAACTCAATGTAAAGAAAACCAAAATCTGTACAACTGGACCAAGAGACAATATAATGATAAATGGAGAACAGATTGCAGTTGTCAAGGATTTCCTGTTTCTTGGACCCACAATGAACACCCACGAGAGTAACAGTCACAAAATTAAAGGACATATTGCACTGGGTGAATAGGTTGCAAAAGACCTCTACAAAGTGTTAAAAAGCAAAGATGTCACTTTGAGGACAACAGTGAGTCTGGCCCAACCTTTTTTTTTATAAAAATCATTGTATTAGGGGCTTATCATATCCATATATCTTTGGTATTTTTAATCACTTCATAGGCATGCAAAAGCTAGACAATGCATAAAGTAAACTGAAGAACTTTTGCCTTTGAATTATGGCTTTGGTGAAGACTTTTGAAAGTACCATGGGCTTTCAGACGAATGCACAAATATGCCTTGGAGGAAGCTCTTTAGGAGCAAGGAAGATGAGATTTCATCTCATACACTTTGGACATGTCCCTGGAGAAGGACATCTTGCTTGGAAGAGATTCATTCTAAGTAAAGGTAATCCAGCAGAATGCAGACAGGATTGCACAATATCATTAATGTCACATGTAAGTAAAATTTTGCTAAAAATAATTGGACGATCCTCAAGGAGATGGATTCAAACACGGCAACTATGGTCAGGATTGTGCAGATAGTCATTCCTTCTGTTGTACTTACGTAATCACGTTGCTGTGCGTTGGAACTGACTGCGATGTATCTAAGCACATTAACCATCCACCAGCTATGTGACCTTGGCCAAGTCAAGGGCTTCAAATGTCAAATCTCAAATTAGAGGATTGGGTAGTTCAGTTCTGAAATGTATGATCCTCCAAAGCTATATATCCAAAACATGTTGAGGAAGTGCTATCGTTAGTTTGCTTTTAAAAATATGCCCAACTATTGACTGGAGAATATATTCATATCAATTCATTGCATGGTTGCATGATGTCGATTTATTTGAAACTTTATGAAACATATTTGCTCCAATTGCCATACAAATTTGGTTACTATCTACAAAAGACCCATACACACCATCTAGTGGTGACAAAACGAAATGTCAGGGTGTCAATATAAACTGTCCTGCCATTAAATGTAAAGAATGGTTATAGACAACGATTATTAAAAATCTTCAATGTATCCTTTCCCCTCATCACTGCATTATGTATACAGAAAACCACTACTTTCCGACTTGTTCATTTGGCAGTACTCTTAAAGCAATGGAGTATCTTGGAATTTTGTACAGCTCATTTGCTTTAGGACCTGGGACAGAGAAGGTACCTTTTCATCTCAAACCATTCCAACTCGAGGGGGAACCAGGGGAAACCAGGATTGGACGGCCAATTGGCACGAGGATGGATCTTTTGCCATTCAAAGAATTAAAGACACTACCTTTGAAAACACAAAGATCAATACACCAGTGAGATCCCTTGATGTCAAGTCTTTAACGACTTTGCTTTACTTAAGTCATCAAATTGAAATTTAAATATGTAAAAGCAGGAATGCATTGTCGTAAACTTAGACCCCCAAGGCTGGGAAGAAAGAACCTTAGAGCTCAGAAATAGAGCCCATTGGTAAAGAGTCTCTTGGCTATTTTGGTTTTGTACTGTGTTTTCGCCCCTTCTTTTTTTCCTTTCCCACCATTTCCTTCTCTCTTTTCATTTCTTCCCCTAATAGTAGTTAATCATACTGAAAAGATAAGTCTTGTGTTTAAAAGGACGATTGTGCATGTCAGGAGTCACGCTCCTCCCTCCTCCTCGAAAGCATTTTAGTCTTTTTCTAAAACCTGAAATGTCGCAATTTTTCAAGATTATGCCTGAGGTATCCTTAAAAGCCTTCTTTTGAAATGCCATTCTCCAACATCCTGCCGCACAATATAGGAAGTGTTCTGAATGTCAACCTGAGAATTTCGCTTTACGAGGAATACCTCGCTTGTGATAACCTCGTGTTTTTGTTTCGTTTTTAATTCATCATGTCTTCAGCTTTCACTGGGGTTCCGAATGTTGGCTAGCTTCTCCAACAGCAGTTGCTAGGTATCCGCTGCACCTCTAAAACCCGAGGGCTCGGGCGGCTTCCACGCCATCCGGGTATTTATTCTTTATTTCGTTCCCGAAACCGGTTCCCGGGAGGAGCAGTTTCTATGCAGAAGTTCAGAAAAGCAGTTGTTACCACGGAACTTGCAACAGTTGGCGTGGTGCGATAGGCAGGCTGGACATGATAAATGGGGCCGGTTTTAAAAACCAAACCACCCGGGAAAGAACAGGCAGCCGCGCGCGCGGGGCGGTGGGACGGCGTGGGGCCGGAGGAGACGAGCTCGGGCCGTGGGAAGGCGC